CCTGGTGCACACACAACAACAGAGGATTTCCCCCCCGATATTCTTGTTGGCCCAGCCGAGGACTAGGACTGCAAGGGATGTTCTACAAAAAAAGTCAGCTGACATCACTGATTCTTCAGTGCAAGGCTTGAACAGACAAAAAAACAAGCAGTGGCCGAAATCGGGTACACCCGGTCCAAACACGGCCATCATCAGGTACCCCTACAGGACGCTGCTTGGAACGGCCGGATGACACCATTTGACTGATTGGCCGACGCCCACCCCTACCCGACCTCGACCGTCTTTCCATCGGGTGTACCCGATCTTGGCTACTCACCCCCCGGAGGAATACCCGGTTTTTCTTTCCCCTGCCCGAATATGGCGGGGCTGTTCGGCGAAAACCCACATGCACACAACCACGGGTAGGACGCACACCGCTGGCCGCTCGTTTGTCGCCAGTAAGAAAGCAGCAGGAAGCAGAGATTTTTTTTTTTTTAGATGTGTCGCGTGTGTGTCGCATCTCGTGAGTGAGGCATCCACAGCTCTTCTCTATCATTTGCACCGACCGCCTGCCTGATGCCGTTTCCCCCAAGCGAGAGTTGTACCGCAGGGGGTGGGTCCGCCCCCGCCCGCCGTCAGAACGTTCGAATTCGAGGGCAAGGCATTGCTGACGTGTACTTGTGTGCATGGGGTTAAGCCGAACAGCCCAGCCATTTTCGGGTAGGGGAAAGAAAAACCGGGTGCTCCTCCGGGGGGCGAGTGGCCAAGATCGGGTGCACCCGATGGAAAGACGGTCAAGGTCGGGTAGGGGTGGGCGTCGGCCAATCAGTCAGATATTGTCATCCGGTTGTTCCCAGCAGCGTATTGTAGGGGTACCCGATTATGGCCGTGTTTGGCCCGGGTGTACCCGATTTTGGCAACTGCTCCTAAGAAAAAGTCCAGTATCCAGCAGGTCTCAATCAACCCCCACTTATTGCAAAGACCTACACATCCCTTCGAGGAGGGGGGCGAAACCTCGAAAGGTAGTCTCTTCAGTAGCTCTGTATGGATGTCCATCTCATAAACAATACTGTTAGACTTTCGCAGCAACACTTGCGTGCAGTATCGAGCACGTGCCACCCAACCTTTATGTGAAGACATGAGCACGTCGCCTCGAGAATTACTTCTGTGGGAATGATGTGTACATAATCAGACTTCTAAAGCCCCAAGCCACCTGTGCACAGAGTACCGTCACCTTGGTCGTGCACATGCGCTTCATGGAACGCGCAAATCTGTTTGCACCTTCGGCTGTACACGTAGAGCTGGACATCCAGCACGCTTGCTGTGTTCTCAAGACGGGAGATTGTTTTCGGTTGTCCGTGGGACCTTCGTGAGTAACTTGTTCCACCCACCCTGCCTGTGCAAAGTTAGGCTAACTGCCGTACACGTGAGGCTTGTTCCACCTCAGGTGAACGGCGGGACTGCTCGAACAAAAAACTGGCTGCAACGACAGGTGCGCTGTGCAATCGTGTGGTGCATGCACCCCGCTCACGAACGGAGTGGGGGGGGGAAATCGGCGGCTCCCAACGTGTCGTAAGGGTAAACGAGCGAAGTGCGAGTTGATGAGGCTGGTGGAGCGACGGTGTGCGACGAGAATCCGGTGCACGAGGTGCAAGCAAGTAAAAATGACACCAAGCGCGAAGAAGGATTGGCATACGACGGGCGACTGAGCGAGCTGGCGACTCTAACGCAGAAATGAGAGACGAAGGTAGAGGCAACGGTGCGTGGAAAGAGAGTAAAAGGAATCGTTTCGCCGGATCTTCCATGAGTCCATCGACAACGACGGCCAAAATGCAGGAATAGCAGACCTTTAGAAGGGCCGAGGAGACAGATCCAGAACGAATCGCAGGGAAACCAACATGCCCAAGTTACCGCAGTGGCAAGCCCGAAAGAAAGGTCGGATAGAGAGCAGCCCCGTGCAGGTTAGTGATTGCTGGGCTCGACTACCCTACGACATGAGGTGGGTAAAGAAGGGCGTTGCTAACGGTAAAAAATGAGGCTGAGACACTTGCTAAACACAAGCAACATCCAACTCGATGACAAGCAGTGCGTCCTCATCCCTGAACTGGGATAGCAGGCCGGATGGAAAGGATCTTGATGAGCATGTTGCTCTTTGGGTAGGGTGCTTGTTGTTGTGCTTGTGCATCTACACTGCTGTATGGCGAGCGAAGATATGACAGCAGCCTGTACCTCGATTGATTTCATAGACAAAATGACGTCACTGCCGTAACAAAACAACGGCTTGTCTTGGAAAATGAAGGTGTAACTAATTCGAAGTTGTTCTTCAGGCCAGGATTCGAAGTGTTCATGAGATTTCTCAAGTCGATTACAAATGATTTTCCGTCATACATGCAAGACGGGTGTGAACTGCTCTGCCATCTCGCCTCATCCCCATTTCAGCGCTGGGTTGAATGCTCCAATGCTCGAGAACATGTGCCCCTTTCAGCAAAAGTTTGAAAAATCATGGTGCCCACTGCTTTTTTCTGTTTGCACGCTGGAACGCATACATTCAGCACTTCTGTGCCGTGTGGCGGGTGTGCTCGTGGGGTTCGCTGCCGGAAAAAAAGTTTTCAATGTCAAGTCAGTTTTCTGGCCGGAATTCTTGAGTGTTCGTTTGCTGACAAAGGTCCGAGAAGAATGTTCCCTTCCTGCTTTAAGGTGTTGTGAACTGGTCTCCCTCCGCCTACAGTAGTTGAGTCCCCTATTCAGCGCTGGGTTAAAAGCTCGCGAAAACGTTCCTCCTTTCACGGGAACACGAAATCACACGGCCGCGCTGCTGTTTGCTGTTTGCACGCTGGAAGCGCGCATGGTCAGCGCCACTCTACTACTGCTGTGGCGTAGAGAAGAGGAGCGTGTGCGATGATTGCTGGGCGAAGAACCTGACGAGTAAACACATCGTGAAAAAATCTGCGCGAAGGATCCTCAGCGTACAAAATGCCGGCGCGGAACATAACAAAATGGTGCGAACCATCCATTGGAAGAGTGAATCTTGTGCATGTACGAGGCATCCTGGCCAGAGGTTTGGGGGATGGTGCCGTGTGTTTCCGGGAGACGTCGGGAATGTCTCCGGGGGCATATACGAGTAGCTTTATAGGACAGCTCGTCCTTGCATACCTCGTACACGCCTTGTTTGTTGTTTGTTGGGTGTGATTCGGTAGTGCATACCTTGGGCGCAAACTGGAACATGAGTCAAATTGCCTTGAACACCCTCGGAGCGCCTGGTGGCAACTATTGTAATATTCGCCACGTGCACTTGTCAAAAGTTGCACTCGTAGACAGAGTTAATAAAACAACATGGTTGTCATGTTGGTATGGACAGAAGTTCTTGCAAAATCAGCGTTCGGCGACTGCTGTACAGAGGTACAAAAACTACATGGTCAGCCCGACACTCACCCTGCGTTGCGTGCAGAGTGCACCCTTCCGACAAACGGTGTGACGAACGCCGTGGATGACCCCAGGCACAGCAGTGCAACCAACGTGCGTGCCGCCATCGTGAATATCTTCAAGGGCAAGGGAAGAGAAGGGGAGAGGTCAGGATGAGCCGTGTGGGGCAGTGAGACAGCAGAAGCAACAAGGAGAGGGCCCAAGGAGAGGCCTCAGGGGCTCCGGGGTGTTGTGGACGACGTACCCGCAGGTAAAACAAGATACCACACCCCCTGACCGATTTTCGAAATCTCGAACGCCCCACAGCACACAGCACACGAATAGGTGATGCTGAAAACGGCGGGGTGGGTACTCGTCTTGTCAAGAGGTTTCCGAAAGCTTCTCATATGAACCATATACCATCTTTGTCGTGGAGCCCTAGCTCGAGCTATAAAAGTCGTTTCAGGGGGTGTTGTATCTTATGTCATCTACCGCGGTAGCCCTTGCTGAGAACATGCGGTGCAACACCTCCGTCGATCCGTCGATCATGTAGCGTCGCAGCGTCGCACAACAAGACGACAAGGCAACAAGGAGAAAGGAACCATCAGCAGCTGTGACCCATGAGGCATGGCTGCCTGACACCCCGTGCAAAGCAGGCAACCGCGTCAACAAAATTCATCGACATGCTGCGGTGGATATCGCGAGGCACAGAGAAAGAAGTAGGGCCGAGTTCTGTACAGCACAACGTGCAAGGCGTCCGTAATGTTGTCGATAATAAAGAGAACGTGCGGTCACCAAGGGCTGGGCGATGTTATCGTTTATTGTTTCGCAAGCAAACCGCGCGAACAAAGCCGAATATTCCGCTTGATACGTCAATTGTTGCATGCAGCACAGAAGCACGGTGCGGCAAGTCCCATATATCACAGGAAAGAAGGCAAACGCGACCGAGACGATGGTGATGACTATTATATATAGACTAGACTGGACCAGCACGATGGCCACCTCTGCACTCATTGGGCGTGTAGAACATGCCTTTTAACGGCGTTCAGGAGCTTACTGGACGAAGCCCAAGATCACCACCAAAACAAGTGACATGACGTGCGATCATGAATGTACAACTACGCCAGAAACGTATCCGTTACCTGCGAACACCCAAATGCCGTAGGTCGCAGTTATTGATTCCGCGTGGACAGGTTTCGCAAAGTTAAAGTTTGATCACTCTGCAACCATGGCAGTGATTGTGCCGAGACCGGTGGCTTGCCGAAAAGCGGCGTTGGAACAATCTCGTCGAGAGATAATCATACGGGTTGGTTCTGGCATATTCCTCGTCGCGGAAAAATTGAGGTTTCGGGAAAATCGCTCCAGGGTGTGCCATATCTTGAACAATCATACGGTAAATCCAAGGGTCTGTTCGAAAAAAAAATCCGGACACATTGGCCCTATCCCCCCCCCCCCCCCCCCCC